CACAGGCTCCTTCCTGCAGACTGTCCATCTGCACCTCCACCACTTTGCAGTGGTCACTGCAAGCCATTCAAGCCAGAGGTCCTCCTCAAAGGCCTGCAAAGCTCCACAGAGAGTAAGAAGCCACCTAAACGCTCAGGGCAATTACTTGCACACCAGGGGTGATGGTGGGCAGACATGTAGCCTCCAGAACCACCCCTTCGACCCCTTGGAGTGGATGCAAAGAGGCAAGCAATGACCCAATGGCAGTTCTTTGGAGTGGTGGAATGTGGAAGGAGAGGAGGCCCCAGCGCAGAACACACCAATCCATGTAGGGCTCCCTCCAAAATAAGTAAACTCAGTTTTACATTCAGAAGTAGGCCTGTACATCTCAAACACGATGACTGCCAGGGGTACTGAAAACTCCACTGCAATAAGGACAACTGAGGCAGGCAAACCCTAACTGCTGGAGCTGGAGGAAAGCCAAGCGACCCACAGCTAGCGCTGCTAACACTGAAGAACTGAAGGGTTTTAACCAGAGACAACAAATGGTCATTGCCATAGCTATGCTACAGGAGAAGACAATACCTTCAAGCCCTCCCTAGAGATAGAGATGCCCCGAGGCAGCCCTGTGCAGTCTTTTCACCACCTCTCCTGAAACCCTCTTCAGTACAGAGGCTTGGTGGGACCTCTGAAGTCTGCCCTCAGAAAAGGGCTTACCAAGAAAAACAAAAGAACAACAAGATTCAAAACCACCTCTCTTACTACCATTTTAACTTAGCTTCTTGTGCCTAGATATGCCAGATTTTTATGCTGCTTCTTAATATTTCTTAGACCTTGTATATGAAAGAAGTGATTTAAGAACAAGTTAATTTCAGCTCTGAACTCCCCACTTCCTGTGTGTTTAAAACAATCTTTTTGGAGGTACAAAATAAGCATGCAGCTTTCTGATTTTTTTTTCCAAATTCTTTTTTCTTTTCAAGACACTACTTAGTAACAGATTCTAAACTTACAAATGACCTGAAAAATGCAATGCTGGGATGGAAATTGGTTTTTCTTCTCCAATAATTTTTTTGATATTTAAATCTTCTCCATATCAGAATAAAAAATTAAAACCTGTAACCTTCATGAAATGAAAATCAGAAAAATATCAAAGGTTTCATTAAAAAAACAAGAGAGCACAGGCTCATTGTTAACATAAAGTTAATTAAGTACTTAAAGGCCTTAAGCAGTGGTAAAGTGCTGATTTAAACCAGGAGACGGTTAAGGCTTTGCAAACTGAGGACTCTGGAAGAACCTGTCATCCTCCCATAAGGTGCAATATGGCTTTGACAGACACTTCATCTTACTGAATACAGTCACTGAATGAAAAATCCTAACCTCAAACTTATCTCAAAGGATTTGGGAAAAAAAAAAAAAAAAAAAAAATCAAAAACTTTCTCCATATCAGAATAAAAAATTAAAACCTGTAACCTTCATGAAATGAAAATCAGAAAAATATCAAAGGTTTCATTAAAAAAACAAGAGAGCACAGGCTCATTGTTAACATAAAGTTAATTAAGTACTTAAAGGCCTTAAGCAGTGGTAAAGTGCTGATTTAAACCAGGAGACGGTTAAGGCTTTGCAAACTGAGGACTCTGGAAGAACCTGTCATCCTCCCATAAGGTGCAATATGGCTTTGACAGACACTTCATCTTACTGAATACAGTCACTGAATGAAAAATCCTAACCTCAAACTTATCTCAAAGGATTTGGAAAAAAAAAAAAAAAAAAGAAATCCAAGACTTTAAACAAACACCTTGTTGAAACACTCTACAAAGGTTCAAGAGCTATGAACTTGACTTGTATATGAAAAGAGAAATACAAACAAACAGGGTAAGCTTCCCACTGACAAGTAAGTTATTACAGGCATGCTGTTTAACATACACAGTGTCACCCACCTGAAATGTTAGCCAGCAGCAGTATCACCTTTCCTTTGGAGATGGTTCAGGTTGAGACAAATGAGAGCGAGGAAAACAGGGAAAAATAATGAGGGAAATAAAAGTTCTTTCAAAAATCAGTGCAAAATGATCATTCTAGATGCACTGGTAAGAAAGCACAACTTCTGAAACAATCTGAACAAAAGTATAGTGGCTTTTTCAATGAAAAAAAAAATTTGAAAATTATCTTTGCCCAAATTTAGTTAGAGGAAATGGGGGAGAAAAGCATAGAATTAAAGGCAGCAAACAAAACACAGCAAACAAAACACAGCAAGCAGTGGACCACTACCCAGCCTGATCTCCTTGTCCCTGCCTTGCCTCTCCCCTCCTTTCTATCCTTCTTCAACATCTCCAGTCTGGGAAGGTGTATACACTTCCCGGTCCTCCACCTTTCCTGAACCTGCTCTAGCCCAACACATGGGGAAGAATTTCCTTTTGCTTTGGTTCTCACATTTCACTATCACATCCAGCCTCTCCTCCCAGAGCTTTTCACCCCGAGGAACACAGTCTGCATGACTGTGTTTGATAATACAGACTCTGCTGCTTAAATACCATACATTTGCAGACAGTTAAAGCATGTTTTACCAAGGTACCATAAAGGAGTTTAACAGTGCACATTCCCTGGGCAGGCAGCAGCTGGAGAGGGACCTTGTCCAACACCAGGACAGTTTCCCTCTCCTCGAAAGGATGGAGAGGAGTGCATGGGGACAAGGTGTTTGTGCTGCTGTTCCCAAACCCCAGCTTTGGGGGGACCATCTGTCTGACGCTGCAGCTCGGGAAGCACAAGCAGGGGAAGAAGGAGGGGAGCAGTGGGCAGGGAATCCCCTCCAAATCTCTCGTACTGTGCGAGAAGGGACAACCAGATGCGGCCAGCCGGGGAGAAATGGTGGTGGGCTGTGCACAGCCTCTCAGTAGACCCTATGAATTGAGCAGAGGCACTCGTCACGGCGTGAGAGACGTGCTGGGAGGGAGGCAATAGCAACAACTGAAGCCCACGATGCTGCAAAACAGCTTGTGCTTCCCTCAGCCCCCAACCCGGGGCGTTTGAAGGCATTCAGAAACCGTACAAAAACTCGGCTGGAGCCACGAATCTTAATAGCAGCTTTCCTCCACACCTGCAGCTCAGCCAAGCCTCCCACGTCTCAGTGTGCCCCAAAACTCTGCGTTTCAAAGGAATTTTACAGAGCCTTCACTCGTCTGGGAGAAAACAGGTTCAGAGGCCACAAGGCAGCTTCTGTGGGCTCCTCCTCTCAGCGCCAGTGGCGGGGGCAATGCCTGCCTGCGACCGCGCAGGCGGCTGCATTAGTTAGTCTGGCACCAAGGAGAAAAGCTATCATCCATTTTTAAGTCAGATTCAGGGAACCAGCTGGGGACCAGCGATTGCCATTTTTGAAGTGCAGGAAGAGGAGTGTAACCAGCCTTTCCATAGTAACAAAGATTAGCGGCCTGGAGTCTGACACTCCTCCTGCATTAAAAGATAGGAGACAAAGCGATAGACAGGTAATTACACAGAAGGAGCCCTGGGGAAATTGCAAGCTCCTTGAGAACCCTTTAGCTGGTCGGTACGTTTCTCCTTGTCTCTGCTTCAGCTGAAGGTCTCCAAGAAACATTTGCCCATTAGGTCATTAGCTTTATTGCAGAAGGTGGCCAGGCAGCTGGTGGAGGCCGTTCAATAAAGAACTAGCTTGCCCCTGCACCGCCAAGAACGAGACGGAGAATGAGAAAGAGAACATCCCAAGGCACATTACCTGTCTGCAGCTTATCCATGATAAGTTAGTGTACTTAGTCAGTCTGAGGGGCCTGACAAACAAACTCTGACAAATCTCACTGGGGCAATTTAAGACATTATTGCATCGTGCTGTCTTCCCAAGCCCTCCACAAAGGTTAGCCCCACAGAGCAAATCGGGCAGAAAAATTTACATCACGCACTGGCCTCCCCAGTACAGAGCCTAGCAAGTCAGCATAAACCCCTTCTCAGAGCTGGTTTAAGTTAAGACATCAACTGTGAACTGGAATGACTGAGGTCTAGACAGAAGATATCGCCTCCACTACAAGGAGCATTAACATCTATCACAAAGATGGAATGGGAAATGACATCTCAAAGCACTGCAGCCAGATCCTAAGTAAATACAAATCTAAACATTGAGTGTTGGTACTAACATATATATGGAATTTGTCTAGCAACTGACTTGAATCTACTCGTGCAGCTCAGGATGCTCTATGAATCACAGCACTAATTTTTTGTACTTTATATATCTGGACACATAAACTGAATGAAAATCTTGAAGTGGAAAGACAGACATGGATTACATGTGGATCACATCACCAGATAACTACAAATTTTAGTTGCTTAGAAGTATTACAAAAAAGGCACTGCATTCAAACTCTCACCCACCACATTTTGCACTTCTGCCCAAAACTAAAGAAGTCTTGAGAGGTGAAGAATTGCCATCTGTTTCCAACTCTTTGCAAAACACACCATTCAGAGCTAGAGCTGGGGTTCCAGCTGGTTCCTATCTTATCTGTCAGTAGCACAACCAGCCATGAAACCAGGAAGGACCCCAGTGAAGAGAATCAGGTTTAAAAAACCACCAAAACACACAAAAAACCCAACTGAACAACCAAAAAAATCTATATCTGATTACATGTACAGGTAAGACAATAATAAAAGAAACACTTTTTGAGACACAATTCTTCAACTTGGCTTCTCCAGACCCAACTCTACACCTTTTCATCTGAGCTGATACTCAGAGAAAGATTTAGTTAATCTGTCTGCAATACAACAGTTACATGAATTTTTTTCTCTGCAAGCATTTAAAATATATTTTGTCTAGTTTTTTTCCAAGGGACTGTATCCTGCACATACAGTAGAATGAGAAGCACAAGAAGCTTCTGTTTGCATCACACTGTTAGAAAGGCAATCCACATTAACCAGAAGACTTGTCTAAACTCTATGTAGACAAGCTTCTTCTAATATCACCCTCCTTTCCAGAAGGAGCTGAGCAGGCAAGACACCTCAAAAAGCAGATAACAATTACCTCTTACCTTTCTGAAGAGGCCGCCGCCAATTAGCACATTCCTGGAGCTTCTAATTCAGGCAAGAAGAAAGGATGGGGAAAAAAAAAAAAAAAAAAGAGAAAAAAAAAAGAAAAAGGAGGAGCAGGGAGCTGTTTTCTTCCTCAGCACAAGAGTATTTCCTAGGGGTTGGAAAAAAAGAAGAAAAAAGAAACAAATCAGTATTAGCTTTTATGCTTTTTTTTTTTTTTTTTTTGAAGAGGCTACAGATCACAACTCCTTGGAAGAGCTACTTCCCATTCCATTCCCTTCTCCCATTCCAAAATACCAACTTGAGCTGTCCTTTATTTTCTCCCTCTGTCATCATCTTATCAAAATATGGAATATGAAGGTCAAGTCACCTATTAGTAAGAAAAATAAAAGATGGATTCCTGTCAGAATGGGATAAAGTCCCATTCAAAAATATTCTTGAGCGCTCATTCTGTTAAGTAAATATGCTTCAGCCAAGCTCACACCCACTTCTGTAAAAATTCAAATGAGCCACATTTACTATCAAAATAGTTGGCAAAAGGCAAATTCCAACATGCATACTGAACATACAGGTATATACTGACATTCAAGTGCTTAAGTACTCTTCCCTGCAAGAATCATACCTAAAATTATGAGGTATATGCAATTAATCATACCTTCTATTTCTTTTTAAGACAATTACTCTTTTTCTTAAGACAACCTATTGAGCTATATTGAATCTTTTAGTAACAATAAGAGAAAAAAAAAAAAAATTAAGTATCAGAGTGAAGGGAAAGAGAACCAAAAAGCTTTTCTGTGACTAAAGATACCATTTAGAAATCCAGCTGCACTCCCATAAAACCATAATCCCTCACCTCAGACCATATCTCTCTCTCTCTGCCCTACTCCTAACATGAATTTAAAGAGACTTACAGACACCCAGATTTAATGGGCCCCTCCCTACCTCCAGTACCTGCCTCTGATGAAAGGCAGGAAAATCAAGTGGAAAATTATTTTAAAGGGTGCATGCAAGACATTAACATATTTGAGGAAATGGCAATCAAGGTTTTCCATGGGGAATGAGCAAAGGGAAACACGTCCAGTCTGTTCTTCGTCACATTTTTTTGGCTTATATTCATCCAGAAAACTCTACCCTTTTCTGTCCCATGGAAAATGTGAATGCAAGTTCGCAAAATAAGGGAAAAAGTCTATGCTACCTTACATTTACACACACACCTCTCTCATGCCTCAAAATGACAATTATCCCATCTGCTAATAGCATGCAACTGCGTACGGATCCTTCGTCTCCCGACAGAGGTTTTACACAAGGGGCCCCAACAAGTAGAAAACAACATAAAAGGCAGCACTCCCATCACAGCATCTCCCTCAAAGCCGACCATGTCTGTCCAATTCTAAATGGCCACAGTTTCTGCATTTCTCTGGGGGACAAAAGCTCTCTTCTTCTCTCCTCCTGTCAGCAAGACTTAAAGCTGCAAGAATAATTCTGTCCAAATTCCCCTCTAGATAGGAAATGATTTAAAGAATTCACGAAGTAACAGTGGCAGTGTAAATAAACAATGAAAAACTAAATAAAGATCACAGAAGAAGCCACACAGAAATTGTGCACTAAAGAGACTAAAAAACAAGATCAGTGATTCGAAACCTCTTCTGCCTTGTTACATTCACCCATAAATAGGCCTGACAATGCAAAAGAATGGATCCTGCACAAAAATGTACCGGCTCAAAAACCTGCCTCCCCAACCTGTTCCCTAAAGGCAAACCTTCCCACGCTGCTTAATCCCACTTTCTCCATGTCCTGCACCCCTCGGTCACACTTCTGCTTTCTGTCAGAATTCAGCCCTGGTACTAATTGTTGCAAAGCAACTTAAGCCAACACCTGGAGTACTCAAATTGTTATACTTTTTAAAAAGAGGGAAGCGGTGCTACAGCCCTCATTGTGGGGACAGGGAAAGAAATGACCCTTAGTGAATTGCTGCTGACATGTGTACATCCTGAGGCTACGCGCTAATCAATACTTACTGAGCAGCTCAGCACTGAGCAGGCTGCAAAATACAAGGGAAAAAAAAATGGTATCCACCTCTCAACCACACATTAGTTTTGCATCCCTAAATCAAATGCATCATTTGCTTTTCCTTTTCATTATTAAATCAAAAGGATGTTTTAGACAGCATTTTTGCCCTCCAAGAGAAACCCCCCCCCCCATATGTCAGGTGAAGTCTGCTAGGAATTGATACACTGGTTACATTTCAAGTACTTGAAAATGTTACACTTTCATCCTCTTATTGGTAGGCGAAATAATTTAAAGCAGACTTGCAAGATTTGGAGGAAGCAGATTTTTAATCAAACGGTGGCAAAAAATAAGGCTAAATGCCAAAAACTAAAAGTTCTCAGGGAGAACAACGTTCTCAGGGAGACAGAAATTTGTCGTAAGTACCACTTAGGAACGTGGCTTTGACTCAACATCACTTGCCCTGAAGAAAGTGAGATTGCCCTCTTCGCAAAATCCTCAGGCAAGAAAAAAGATAAAATGAAGTGCAATAATGCATTACCCCAAAGTCAAATTCTAAGTAGAGAAACCTAGCGAAATGTCTTACGATACTAAAAGACTTGACTAAATTTCTGGCAGGGCCAGAGATAATTTAAGAAAAACGTCAAAATGTTTTGGGTACACATCCACTACAGGAAAGAAACAAACAGAAAACTGGGAAACACTGTATCGAAACCCAACAAATCGTTGACATCAACATTAGATAAATGAAGAGGCATATGTTAAGACAAACACCCTCAGATGGTGTGTGAGTCAACTTCTGCAGTGGATTTAGCCAAGTTGCTTTCCTATACCAAGCTTAATAAAAATAATCCTCAATCCCACCAGCTAGAGCTGGTTTTTCATTACATCTCACACTACACACGCTGATTTCTGGACAGTACCTGAGCTGATGACTGAAACCTAGACCAGGGATGCCGAAATGTGATCTTGACTAAAAATTAATCCTTCTTTCTGGAGGATCAGTACCGGATTTATTCCTCCAGATGCACACTGTAGTATTTTTTTCCAGGTGTTCCTCAAATCGAAACCACTTCCCACAGTTAAATGCAAAGAGGAATCCTGCATGACGTTTCCCAAGATCTAGTTCATTAGTTCATAATTTAATTGATCCAGAGACTTTTTAAGTAAAGAAAATGAGGAGTTTTAGGAAAGTAATTCTCCTCACTTACAGTCTGAGCCACACGACTGGCAAAGAGTTTGCTCACCTTATCCTGCCCCAGCCTTGCCAGGAGCCCCATCAGCCCCTTGGGGAACTACTCTGGTAAAGGAAGCCTCCATTACACACAACCAACCTAGAAGATTTTCTAGTTTATTGGATTTTCCTAGCTTTATGATGTTTATTACTTCCATTACAACAAGGACTAGAGACAGGAATTCAGAGTGCTGCTGTAACAGCCCCTTCCCCAAACTGTGTCCACAACATAGGGTAAAGCAGGGTTTGGGGGGAAGCGCATCACTGCCTCACACCATTCAGAGGGGGGGAAAAAAAGAGTACTCTTTAAGTTCTTCAATCTACATTTAACTTACTTTTCTTCAGGTGACTTATATGCACACTCAGTGAGCACTAATACAAATAGATCAAGTTTATATCGCAGTAAAAAAATATTTTGGGGGGTTTTCAGTTTATTTTTCAACCTCTCGATCTACGAGATGTTATAAAATAACTATTCCATGAATATCTATTGAGGGAAGAAGTAATCTCAATTTCTCATCATAAAAAACAAACAAGCAAGTTAAGAAAAGAAGATAAAAATACCTATTCTTAACAATCATGATGAAACAAAAAAAACAACACCTTTTTCCAGATACATTTTATTTACAGTCTTTAGGTAAAATATTTCTTAGAACAGTACAGTAAGTATCTCTCATACTAGCCTGTAGCCACTAGTGGCAATGGCACCTCCCTGATATTTTGGGCCCCCTCCCTTAACTCTCAGGGCAGGACTCTAAACACTGTGTTTTGCAGCCAGAACCCTCACCTCCCACTGTGGGAGGTTTCTTCTCCAAGCTATTTTCTAGTATCTACAGTTTGGACAGAGTCAGTATGAAGTGAAACTTGCATATAACATAGCGCTTACCTACAGCAACATAAAGAGAACAAGCAAGAAATTAACAAATTCTGATTTAATTTAGTATAAATCAAAAGCATACCCTATTATCCATGCATATATGTGTTTGTGTGCAAGCTTATAAGTGTCTGTATACACAGAACAGGGTAAGCACTTCCACCACAAACACCTGTACTGGAGATATTTGAAAAGAAACGAGCTTCTTCAAACATAAATACTATGTTCCCAGAACTGTATCTGCACAAAGACAGGAAGCTCTTCTCAAGTATCTGTTACAAATAGCCAAGAAAAAGTTATCAAAATATTGTTGCAGAAGCACTGACAAAGGATAAAAACATGGTAAGAGTGACTCAAAACACAGATCTCCTAAATAAACTTTCCTTTGATTTGCCCAGGTCTGAGTGAACTCACGGGATCTACTCATCAATAAATGGCTAAATGTAAGATTCTGTGCTTTACTTACATGAAATACAGTTCCTAAACAAGAAGCAAAACTTTAATTATTTCGAATCACCTTTATTCAAATGCCAAGTGTATTATATTTCTATATCTTTATTTAGAGGTGTTTACACAATTCTCTTCTGCAACTTAAATGTTATCCTTATCTGTATTTCCCCATCTGCTTTCTTTGGATCCTGAAAAAAGCTCTTCCCAAAATGACATTTGTCCATGTGAAAATCTAAGTTTACAGAAGCAGTATTGATTTGCATACATTTAGATAACATGCTTATTAAAACATACCAACCTATGCATGACATTAACTTACCAGTCTAACTGCAAAAACCGCCAATAATGAAAAAGAGATTCCATTTTCTCTTAACCGTCAAAAAAGGTACATACCTAGCACAAGTAAGATTTATACCCCATATTTTATATGCAACACCTTGAGGACCAAACCCAGTGCACACAAGCAGAATGGAAGATGCTCAGCACTTTAAAAATTTGGTCCCTTTCCAAGAAACAGGGAGTGGAATAATTTTTAAAAGCATTTATTTCTACCT